CAAAAAGTGGTATGGTACGGTTTGCTTTTAGGTACCTTTTGGCCATAAAAGCCATTGGTATGAACCATACCATAACGTACCACTCAGTGAAAACAGGCAATTAATAAAGCCTTTAAGGCAGTCCTGATTGGCCAGAGATTGAGTGGGTGGAGATTGGAGTGAACCTTGAACTGAACAGGGGTGTGACTCTACTTGAGGTTGCAGCTGAGGGACACAAAACTCCTCAACAGGCTTTTTCTTCTTTTCTTTAAGCTGCTTTTGTAAAAGCGCTATAGAGATAACGATGACTCGACCTTATAGCTACTTTTGCCTGTATTTTTAAAATGATCAATGTTAGTCATTAATTGCAAGCATTTTTCGTCCTCCTTTAGTGATCTCAATAAGGACTTTATGGCACAGATAAAATAAAATAAAAAACACCAATGTTTTAACTACCCCATTATGTTACAGTAATCTGTTTTCCACATCATCATTAATAGGAGATTTTAGTTTGTTTTCTTACTCAACACACAATGGTATGGCAAACTGCTGTTCTTTTTGATATTACTATTTATTAGATATTATATTATATATTATTAGATATTACAGTTTTTCTCCATTGGTTTGGCTCATCTCTTGAAACAGAAATTACATTCTCAAAACAACATGGACAAACCTCCAAACCACTTGGCAATTGTTCACAACATACTTGAATTTCTCATTCATTTCATCAAACTGCAAGTGTCTAAGTACATCTTTGCAAACGATTAAGTACAGATAGCCTACATTTAGCAGTGAATAGATCTTGTTGATCTAAACTGATTGTTAATTCTCAGTCTAATGGTTTTTCTTTCCAAAATGTGTCAGCGTCATTTCATTGCATAAGTCATTACATGCACAATAGTCTGTTCAATTGTCAAAATTAGTCAAGACCATAGTACCATGAATACCATACAGTAGGTGAATCCTTGGAACATTTGATTACAATTTATTACAGCTATTTATTCTTTTTGCTCTGAGATATGGAAGTTACTTTGTGTGTGGTTGATCATTACAATAAAAAAAAGGAGTTACCATTTCCTTGGAAGTAAGACTGCAGTGTGTGACTTTTTTCAGTTTTACACACACTTGTATTCTCTTAGCTAGACAAAAACAGTACAGTAACCATTGTCAATGAAGGACTGGGCTTAGATTGTAAGGTGGACATGAGGGATATTTTAGTTATCCTTTGCCATAGCAACAAAACATCTAAACATTTCGACTTACAGTGCTTACACAATGCTAAAGGCACGAAGCATTTTGGGGGCACTGACTGTTCAGAAAACTGACTAAATCAGAAATTTACAAGCTGCAACACAACAAGCTGTAACTGTTTTGCCAAATGATCTTAAGAGTTTTGAGAATGTAATTTCTGTTTCAAGAAATGAGCCAAACCAATGGGGAAAAACTAAAATAAACAGACATTTAACAATATGAAAAATATCAAATAGCCATTTTGAAAACAAAATAACTAAGCTACATTAGCAAAGACAGAAAGTCTTTGTCGTGATACATGGAAAGTCCTTAAAAAGTGCATTCATTATTATTTGCTGCATGCTTTCCTTCTGGAAAAAAAAAAAAAAATATATATATATATATATACACATATATACATATACACACACACACACACACACACACACACACACATATATATATATATATTTCACAGCCTTACTTTCATAATAAAAATCAGCGGACATGCAAATTAATTATTTTGACACTATTTAGTGTCAACATCAAATTAACTATAATCATAATAAAAAATAAATATATAATATTTAAAAAAAATAAATAAATAAATATATATATATATATATATATTATATATATATATATATATATATATATATATATATATATATATATATATATATATATATATATATATATATATATATATATTTATTAATTTATTAAATAAATATATATATATTTATTTATTTTTTTTTCTAAAAACAACAATACCTATTAACTTTTTTGCATGTCTTACTTTCGCTATAAATCATAGGGCTAAAACATAATTTCTGGAGGGCCGCAGCTCTGCACAGTTTTGCTCCAACTCTAATCAAACACAGCTGATCCAAATAATCAAGGTGTTCAATACTACTAGAGACTATTAAGCAGGTGTGAGTTGGAGCTGGTTGGAGCTAAACTATGTAAAGCTGCAGCCCTCCGGGAATTGAGTTTGAGACTGTACCAAACAAAAACCCTAATATTAATTGAATGTTACTAATTCAATAACAATATACAAAAAAATAAATCATAATGCTGATAATTCATCATATGCTGGGGATTTCAGATCTTGAACAATTATGCTAAAATCAAAGAAAAAAGAAATCACAAAACCTTTTGATATTTTGTAATGTTTGTATTTGTTTCATCGTCACAAAATGGGTACATGGGGAGGAACAAGCCTTTCAGAAGAACCTGAGGTATTTTGCGTCAAGCAGCCTAAGGTATCAAGATTTTCTTTTTAAAAATGTTCTATATCAATTAGTTTTGTTGATACGATGCTATTCACACAACATATAATAATAATAATAGTCATAATAATAATAATTAGTTGCCAACTATTAACAGTTTCAGCAAAAAGGACAGCCTGCATCTTTTTATTACATTTTAAATAATGACAACAATGTCTTTAAAAATATAGTACAAGGAAGGATAAGGAAATACAGGTAATGTCTCACACAAGGAGAAAAAAATACAGCAGCACAAATACAAGATTTGCCATACAGAAAAGCTAACAGAAAAAATACAGACATAAATAATTTGCTGAACTTTCTCCCATTCCATTCACATTTGCACACGCACACGCACACACCCTTTCTGTGTTAAACATAACCTTTGGAGCATTCTGGAACTTGTGAGAGAAAAAGAGGATAAAGTGAAAAAGTAGGAGTGAAATTAGTAAAGAGAAGAAAGGGAAGATAGCTAGAGAACAAGAGAAAGCTCAGAGCTCAGAGATGTAACTGACTCAAAAAGCTCCCCTGAGAAGAAAGCAAGCAGATTGTGTTTTAACCATTGCTACTCATCCATTTCTGATCTTCCATATAAAGTTTTAGGGGCTGTTTACAGTTTACACAACAACGTTTTCATCCTAAAACGGTAACCTTTTTATGTTTGTTGCCTGTTCGTTTACACAAAAACATTGGTTTTTTTTTGACGCATGATTCTGAAAATGGGTTACAAAGTGGAAGTTTTCAAAAATCCAGCTGCCACAAAATGAAAGTTTATATAAGAAATGTCGTCATTCACGTGTAAGTTATCCGCTAGTTAAGTGTGACGTCACATGAACCGGCTTCCAGATCCAATCGCTGTATCAAACTGTATAGCGCGACCCAACAAATGGTAATAATAAACGTTTAAAGTGATGGGATATTTTCAAACATCCCGATTGCTGTATATATATATATATATATATATATATATATATATATATATATATATATATATATATATATATATATATATATATATATATATATATGTATATGCATATATATTCATGCGTAATATCTGATGGCCAAAACGTGATACAGTTTTTATATATTGTTAAAATATTGGTATCTATGATGGAGCAAGTGCAGAGACTGTTTTGTACACCATGATTTTATTTTAATTTCACTTTAATGAGTGATATGACAAAAAATAGTCATAAACAAACATTTTCTCAATTCAAATGAGTAGCGGTTTGGACCTAAAAACAGTATTCCATATGTACTGTAACTGATACGTCCCCACTTAAGCGAGTATGTTATTGGGGATTATATGTATGTGTTGTTGTTGCTCAGTTGTTTCCCATTAGCAAAGTTTGGATTTGCTTCACATTACAACCAAAAGTGGAAACTCGTCTTACACACCTGGCATATATATATATATATATATATATATATATATATATATATATATATATATATATATATATATATATATATACATACATACATACATACATACATACATACATACATACAGTATATTTACAAACCAGCACTGGGTCGCTGACGATACGTCATCACTTCTTTACAGGCACTGCTTACTAACAAGGTGAAATGGCTAAATACTGGTTGTGATGACAAGCTAAAGCCTTATAAATCACTGAAGCTCAGCTGTGTCTGAAATCGCATACTTCCATACTATATAGTACTCAAAACCAGTATGCGAGCAGAGTTTAACGTCTGAATTTATAGAATTCGAAAAACAGTAAGTGAGATCTACCCGGTTGGCCTACTTCTGGCGCGATTCTATGCACATCAGATGGTCGCTTGCTATCATTTGATGCACTGCGAGAGAATTCATGAATGGGAGTGAAACAACGCGACTGATGATGGCAAAATGGCGGATGTAGTATGTCTGAGTTCCATTCATACTACTTACAGTCTTACTTTAAAAAGGACATGCTTTTCTAACGGCTGAGTAGTACATTTAAATGCAAATGCAGTACCTACTGAGTAGTACTGTAAGTGATGCAGCCCTCACAAAAGGGTTCATTTCTGGAGTCTTAGTTTGCTCAAGATACCCCCTTGGGGCTGAAAAGTGTAAAACAAGCAGACCTGATGTGACGCTCTACATTTTTCTCCAGTTAAGTCTTAAATAAGAATAAAAAAATCACTTTCACATAGACTCATGCATTTTTAGCCGTGTAATATTTGTTATCTAGTGCTATATGATTATATAGTTAGCTGTATAACTTAGCAATGAAAACAGCAGAACAAAAATGAGGCTTTGGATGCCAAAATTCTCCAAAAGGATACAAGCTTCAACATGCGCTTCTCCTAAAAGTTTTAGAAGATTTCTCGACACACACTCTGAAGTCTCGGCACTGAGTGTAACATCAATAAATACTGGCCTGGCATATGTAATCCAGCATCTTTGGCAGTTTTTTGGAGATGGGTAAACATGGATCATTTTGAAAACGTTGTCATGTAAATATGAAACTTATTTTAAATGCAAGGGGAAAACCTTTCCATTTTTTGCTACGTCATAGTCTTGTAAAAGTAGCCTTAGATACCAAGTAAACATAGATGATCAACAGACATATGTAGGGCCATTAGCCATGTTTGAAACACATCTAGTTGTGTTTAATTTATTGAATTTTTTTCATATGGAATATTAGGGGCTTATCTCCTCTCCAAAATGTCACTCTACATGAGCAAAGGGTCAGTCTACCAATCATTCACAACATCCATCCAAACATCCTCCAACAATCAGACCCAAACAAACAATAAATAATGTCATAAATATGCAGAACAAATGGGGGACACAGACAAACCCCTTCAAGAGTCCCTGTCAATTTTTTTTCCCTTCATTTTGTCTTGTGTGCTTGTTAATACAAAACTCGAATTCTTGAAAATCAAATTTACGATGCTGGGGTATCATACATATTCTTCTAGATTACTCTAGAACTTGTTCATGCTGGATTAAAGTCTTTAATAATTCAAGCCAGCAGGCTGGAGAGACAAACAAAAGCGGTAAGAAATGCTTTAGTTTGTGACACACCGCAGGACATCAATGGTTACACAAGATTTTTTTTGTTTGTAAAGCGTTGTGGTACCCTTTTAATAAAAACGTCCCTCTTAAAGCAACAGAAAGTGCATTTAAACATCAGATAATTCCTGGTAATTACGGCACTCCCTTAGAAACAAAAAGGAGGACAAAGAGAAAGGTATGTAAAAACACATATTGCTTGTAGTTGCGTATCGGCCTTGCGAATGTATTTTTATAAATGTCACTGAAAAAGTGAGATCAACACTGAAAAAAGAGGAAAAATAAAAACTCCACAATCTTTATATTATTTCTCATTACCAGAATGAACCAGTAGAATAAATTAAAACTGTAACTAAGAAAATGACAAAAAAATTGTCCATTGAAATCACTGTGTAGAGTTCGTGTAGTTTTCGTTTGTAAGGAACACAGCAGCTTTGAAGCATGCTCAGTGACAGAAACGTGGGTTGCACAAGAGTTCGAGCATCACCACTTGGGCACAGGAGGGGAAGGACGAGACCCTGAAATCTGGGTAACAATAGATTGACAGAGAACATTATGGGAAAACGCCCACAATGCATTTCCTTCATGACATGCCTGGGTCCTCCTCCAGGATTCCGAGAATGCTAGGATGCAGGAGCAGGGTGCACAAAGAGGCCTTCATTCAGCTAGTAAATGTACCACCAATGCTCAGTCTGTGCTGACTCCTCGTGCTGTGGCGGTGTAACTTCACTGAGTCCAGGGGCGGCATAATAAAAGAAACAAGTGTGAGCGTAACAGCCATGCTCAAATCTCAATAGACCAAAAGGCTGGTAAAGCTTTTATGAGGGATTGGGGATCTGTTTCTAAAGTCGGGAAACAAGATTTCTTTCTGCAATTGGAGTCCCAGCTTGTTGTCATCTTGGGGTTGGCTATGGCTTAAAAATAGAAAAAAAGCAAAGTCAATCTGTGTCCGGGTCCACCGGTTTAAAAAGACCAGCCAAAAACAAAAAAAAAGTCTCATTTTTGAGAACCAGTCATTAACAACAAGCCTATGACTAAAATGAAAATGTTCCACACAAGAGCATCTCCAGGTCAACTCTTAGTCATCTTTGCTCATAAGTGGTGCCTATCTGCCAGTGTGTAAAGTCCCCAGAGACTGTGCAGGTGATGTCAGGATACTTCTATGATTTCCATGCTCCCAGAGAAGCTGGACTGTTTACTAATCTTTCCCAGTTCTTCTCTTGAACGTGTCTCTGATATCCCGTCTTCGAACTCCATTTGACAGCTGCGCCGTTTGAACTGCTTATCAGCAGCACTGGAAGTGGGAGCATCCTCATGCCAACTGCCCCTTGAGTCCCGTGGTTCCCCAACCTTTTCCCGCAGACGCACAGACTCACACGGTCCGGGGAGACTGCTACAGCCTAGTGCAGGAAAGTGTACCATCCCTCCTCCACCTCCGTTACCATTCATTGATTCTGAGCCGTAGAACCAAGGGGCTTCATCTGTTGGTGTAACAGGGGTTGTGGCCTGTACGGTGTCTCTATGCTTGGTCCACATGGGACCGGAACCCACGGTGGGCAGGCTAAGCAGCAGGGAGGGCTTCAGATTGTCATTAAGACTGGAACTTTTTTGTGCAGAGAGTGTGCGTCCAAGGTTTAGACTGTGCGAGTGCACGGGAGAACTTCCAGCACTGCTACCATTGTGCTTGCTTTTCCTTCGCGAACGAGGCCTGGAGCTGCTTTCAGGAAAGATGCTTGGAGATTCAGCTAACCCAGGGCTGATGGAAACAGGTGAGTGCTGACATATACCATTGACTTCTCTGGCCTCCGGACTATCAAGTTTGCAGAGTTTGGGGACATCCTCGGTGTGTGCAGGTGCAAGGCGCGGACAGTGGTTGGGCTCATAGACCGATTTGATGTCGAGTGAGAAGGAGCGTTTGAGCCGGTTGGTATCTAGAATACGTTCTGCCGACAGATTCAAGCCATTAAAGCCCTGCTGGAGGGAGGTTGGAGAAGGCAGCTTGCCATCTAATTCTGTGCCATCCTTCTCAGCCTCCAAGCGCCCCTTTTCGGGATCACTGGAAGATTCGCTTCTAGGTTCTGAAAATTCCTTCAACTGCTCCAACTTCTCCTGACCTGAGGAAAGAGCCTTCAGCAACCTCAGACCTTTCTCAAACTCCAGCAGCTGTCCCAGGAAATTGAAGTTGGGTGATATTGAAGGTCTGCGGTCCTTTACAAACCTGGAAACACAAGAAGAGTAAGAATGATTACCCTGAGGCAAAATCCACACATGTGCATAGGACAACATATTCAACACAAAGAGGCATCATGTGAGGATGTATAGGCCGTGAATAAAGATACGTTTTAGGAAACCTACAGCAGGTATTGTTTGCAAGTTTCTATGTGATCCATTTTCCATGTTGCAGGAAATAGATATAAAATTACAGCTACAGAAAATATCTTTCTAAGACTGTGCAATCTAAGCTGCAGGGTGTCTGAGTGAGTTTACCTATAAGCGTCATCTGATGACAAGCCCATTGTCTTCATAATATAAGCAATGGCGATGGTGGCCGACCTGGAGATGCCAGCTAAACAATGGACAATGACTCGACAGTTGGAAACCTTGGCTTTGTCTGAAAGGAAGAAAGAAAACATGTGAGTAAACAAAACATGCAGGACACTCAAATACCTCTTCTGTTGACAAGCCAAAAAAAGAGAAAGTAGCAAAGGGAAAATATAATCAACATTTAAGGTACTGAAGCAAGCATTTTCTTACCAATGAACTCATTTGTTTTGTCGAGCCATGGCAGGAGTTTTTCACAGTAGTTGTCATTGACGGGAATGCGCATGAAATGGCTTTCGGAGATAAACTCTGGTTTTGGGCAGGTGTTGCTTGCATTTAACACATATGTGATGCCGTTTTGAGCCATCAGATCCTGAGGGAGCAAAGAATTAAGATATAAAATATGAACTCTAACATTCTAAGATGTCAGTAATGAGCAGTCGTACCTTGTTAAGCACATCTTTTTGTGATCCCAGGTAGAGATGGGGCAGGATTCGTGTGGGACCAACATTTGCCACAGGCAAACACGGCTGAGACAAGCTCATAGGCAGAGTGGCCACCGGCTTGCCTTCACAAAGGCCTGGGAAACATGATGAGAATGCTGCAAAACCACCTAAAGAAACACAGAAAGAAAAGAAGGAACACATTAGCAACAAAAAGAGTTTTAAGACAAGAATAAGAGACTGTGAAGAATTCTGCGGCTGGTAACATCATCACTGTTGAAACAGATGTTATGTAACTCGACAACGCTCAAACAACTAAACAAAGACACTACAATAATAGGAGAACTATTTCAAGTCAAAACCTTTCATGCTAACAAAAAAAAAACATCTTGATGTCATATGTCATTTGTCAAAAACCAATCAAGAAAGTATTCAGATGTTCTGAAAACGGTTATGCCAATCTAGGTCAGTGCATGTATAAACGCAACAGTCAAGAGAGCAAAGACCGTTTGGCCTATAAAAGAATCCTGTCTCTTTAAGAGGCGGGTGGCTCCAGTTTTGGCATTTGTCTGCCTGAGCTCTTTTTCCTGAATGACCTAATATCCTCAACTGAACAATTGCGTCAGGCTTTGAGAATGAGGGTGGTCACAGGTGCAGACCAAGCCCTTGATTCACAGTTCTTGGCTGACTGGACAACAAAATACCCACATATCAATGCAAAGAAGTATAAACTTATAGAATGCTATTACAAATGTATCTATAAGCAAAACCTGGAATGTATTTGTGTAACAGGGAAAGATGGACAAGTGGATTTAACTTACAGAGCAAGTAAGAAAAGACTTCATCGAGCTGTGCACTGCTGCCAGAAAGTGTGAGCCCCAGCAGATGGGTTTAGACCTTAATCTCAGATGAGCTTCATGAGAATCTGGGACATGGTAACCCTGGGAGCGTGCATACACAGCAGTCAACCAGGGAGCCATGAAATCATTTCATCCCAGCCAGGAAACAGTGCAATAGTCCAAACAAAAGTGACTGTGTTGAACAGAACTCGATGGGAGGGAGGAGTTGTAACGAACAAGTCAATAAAGTGAGTCATGGCAAATAAAAAGTGAGATGATAACATTTAGAACAAAGAAAAGCGTACGCCATGTCAAACGTTATCACATGACATCATGCTGTGAACCTAACCCTTTACTTAACCTGCTTTGCGCCAACTGACATTAAGGAACATCTGTCCAGCTTACTGATGTGCAAATCACCAACTGAGCAACTACAACAAAAATGAAAATTTGCTCACTGTTCACTCACCCTCAAGTGGTTCCAAACCTTTATGAGTTTATTTCTTCTGTTAAACAAAAAGAAGATATTCTCATCGCTGACTTCCAAAGCAAGAAAAATAACAACTCTGGAAGTCTGTGGTCTCCAGCATTCAACAAATATCTTCGTTTGAGGTCAACACAAGGAAGTAACTCAAACAGATTTGGAACATGTGAAGGATGACATAATTTTCAGTTTTAGGTAAACTATCGCTTTAAGAGCGTAAGCGACAACCTGTCTGTTTCCTGCTATTAATGGCAATGGCAAGTACGATGACATCATCTCTCAGCATAGAAGACCGAGAGGTGATTTGCATGTCACTCAAGCAGAACCAACAGGCCCCTGGTGCCTCCGCCATACACCCTTCAAACCAGTGGTAGATGAATGATTGCCAACCAAATGTTCGACAACCCCCCATACTGGTTCAAATGCACCCTTCCCCCCTCAAAAACCACAAATACATATAGATTCTAACTATGCATGGGACAATAACCAGTTTCTAAAATAACATAAATTGTGTTAAAAGAGCAAAAAGATTTTTGGTTTTTACCCAGACATTTAAAAATAACTTATTTTGGAGCAGCAATACTATGAAACCGTGATATATTTGTCTGAGGTTATCATACTTTCAGAATCTTATACCGACTCATGCCTAATTCTAACACAATGATACAAACCCCGTATCCTGGATGTCTACTCCCCTCTTCTGAAAATTTAACCGTCTTTATGAGTCAAGTGACATAACTGGGGTTGGGCATTTTGTCAACCATCCATGGTAAAGCTTCAAATTTTCCCTAGTGTGTGGCTTCCTATCTCCGATCTCCCAAATGTACTACTTGTGCCAAAAGAGGGAAACAATGATGACCTCCCATCCCTCTTCCTTGAACTCAAAGGTCAGGGATTTCAAAGGCTATCGGAGATCTGTAAAAGCAAGACCACAGCTCAAAAAACAAGTGAACAGGCTCCCCCTTTGGAACGGTCTGGAAAACGGCTTCGAAGACCTACAGGGATCCTTTATATAGCTTCCTCGAAAAAAAAAAAGGAAAAAGAATGTTTCTAGACCACAGCAGCACTAACAGGAAAACGTACAGCACCACATTGTTGAAAAGCCAAGAGAGGAAATACTTAAGTGAGGTCATCAGCTATCATTTCTAACAGGGCGGTGGTGGTGACAGTTAGGATTACAAGGAAACCATGAGCTTCCGTATCTGTCTAGATGAAGTTAAATAAGCGAATGACCGGTTTTACTCCTGCAATAATCACACGGTTAAAATACAGTTATATACATACACATTCACTAAGCACAATTTAGCACAATTCACATCCATGTCTGACTTAAAGAGATGAAAATCATATTTTGTAAGTTGTTTTGACAGAACTCAGTCATATTGGAGTGATAGAAACACAATAAATCTAATTTTTTTTATTTCCTGATGTTAAAATAGGATCGAAATCTCTCCCATTTTGAGGCCCACCGCAATGTGATGTAGGAGTGTGGTTTCCCCACCCACCGAATTGATTGACAGCAGCATATTAACATGTCTTCATAGTAACGCTTATAATCATATCCACAAGACAGGACGTGCACAAAGCAACTGGGATTAAAAGATCTGTTCAGCACTCTGTGATCATCAGCACCTCTAGAATGAGTTTAAAACTTCTTATTTATTTATTTATCTTTATAAAACTTAATAGGTTCTGCAGGTTGCAACGTCCCGAATATTAATTGCCAACCTTAAGCCATTTGTAATCAATTGCTTTGGTTCGATTTGAAATTTTCCCAACCAGCGCAGAGCTTATGGGAGCAGAGTGAGTACTACGACTTGCCCCTCCCGGTCCAGTTTAAAACCTTTTTAAAACAGTGCATGCTTGTCATATCACTTTATAATTCTTCACCACAGCCGCATAATGTCAGTACAATTACAAAATAAGACACTTTACTCCCGGTTTGTGGGCGTTAAATCAGGTTTAACATAATAAATGTCCATACACCAGTGTATATTGACGTGTATCCTAACGTGTATTGCGGGAAGGCTTGAATTAATTCCATAACAAATACATCAAATAACCATTGGGAAAGTTCTTTCTGTAGTAAGAAAGATCTGCTTCATTCTTGTATGTCACTGTGCTGCTTATGTGTGAGACGCAGCAGGAGAAGCTACACCCACCACAGCAATAGTGAGCGATCTCTTTGACTCTGAGGGATTGAGGGAGGGGGAGAACCAGCTCATTTCCATTAAAGGCAGAGTCAACAAAAACAGCTCAAATTTAAGGTATAATAAATCATTTGATGGGTATTTTGAGCTGAAACTTTACAGACACACTCTGGAGACAAAAAAGACTTGATCTTGAAAAGGGGGTAAAATAGGTGGCCTTTAAGCAAAAATAGTTGCGTAAGAGGTCAATAGTGACGTTTCTTAAAACCACTATACATGCATTTGCGCAAGAGAAGTGTGCCAGGGTCAACCTCATGCTGGATGAAAAGGCAATGTGCCACTTGCACACTTCCTTTTTTCTCTGTCTGTTTGTCCAAAGCTTACATAACCTCCATTCGCCATCCAGCTTTGTCTGACGTACCTCTAAACTCTTTTAGAGAAACCGTTTCATCATGGAAGTGTTTATCTTTAATTGTTTGATGATAGTTACCTGAATGTTTAATGCATCTGCAATTCTATCCTCCCCTACTGTGCAAACAATGAGTTTTATTTTGGATCTATGGAGACATGATGGTGTTTAATAACACAGTTCATTAACTACAGCCTCTGATATTAGTTCATTGTCCTCTGGCACCTGACCTCCATCTTTAGGAGCCCCTCAGTTTTTCATCTGAACTCTATAGCCACTCTCACACAGGCTTCCATTCAGGGCCTCTACATCTAGTGGCATTGATGGGCCCCTGAATGAAACTAATGCACATTAACACACGCACACACACACACACGCACGCACGTCTCTAGATGCAGAAGACATGACGCCATTGAGAAGCAGACCCCATCTGTCCCCATCTCCACGCACACGCACTCACTTATTAGCATCTCAATAAAGGCCCAATGACATCATTGCACACATGCATGCTGCACAATGAGGAACACAAAAAACAGCAGGGGGTTGGTGGCTACCTCATCACTCCCGGCGCTTTGTGTCATGCTTGACAGATTAGAAGTGTTAAACCCCGGGACTCTGTATCTCCCAATCATTAACTGTTGGCGCTTTTACAATTATTACATTTCTGCTTTAAAGCCGTTACGGAAACACAGACGTCACTGCAATAAAAGTCAACTGCTTAGCAAAGTCCAACTGTTTAACTTGTACTTGATGACATCAGTACAAAGCATACGTGATATATCAAACTCAAATATGTGACCATGGAACACAAAAACCACAGTCATAAGTGCCAACTTTTAGAAATTGAGATGTTGATATCATCTGAAAGCCGATTGAACAATATTTGGCAGAGATACAGCTACAGTATTTGAATATCTGGAATCTCTGAGGGTTTTTAAAAATCGAATTACTATGCACGAAAGTTGTGCATATTGAGTTCTGCGCAATGCAAATTACCAAACCTGAAAGTTTTGATAAATTTACAGTAAAAATGTCTTCATGGAAGATGATCTTTACGTAATATTTGAATGATTTTTTACATAAAATAAAAATTGTGCAACATAAAACTGGTGGTTTTGCATACCAGGGTCACATATACACCTTATGTGCGCTCAATAATGCACCATAAGCTCCAAACTATGAACACAAACAAATCAGCTGCAGTGAATGTACTAAAATAAAACACTCCCACACATGCCCATTTAACTACAACTGCTTTTAGAGACTATTAAAGAAGCACAAATGTTACTCTACTAGATAGCTACAACGATCTCAAGAATTAAAATAAAACTAGATCACAATCAGTATGTTTGACAGGCTCAAATGGGGAAAGCACCGTTGACCAGGTGTCAACAGACGTTACACACCTCTAAGCTTGCGCTCTTTCCTCATCTTGCGGACTCTGATTTTGAGCCTCATGTCTGTTTGCTGAAGCCCCGGCCAGAAGCAGTTTTCCGGAGACGATATGACCACGTCTATGGGCATCTGCACCAACTCAGAAAGCACCAAACCGCAGTCCAAAAAAAAAAAATTATGTCCACTGAATGCCACGAAAAGTACGATCCTAGCTATGTCCCCCACTCAGAGCAGAAGAAGTGTGTGGTCTTTCCTCAGGAGTGCCACGGATCCTTCCTCGATCTCATTCTGTGTGGCAACAACTGAAAGTGGAGCTCGCTATTGTTGTACAGCCTCCATTCAAGTCTTTCCCCGCCTTCTCTCTCTCTCTCTCTCTCTCTCTCTCTCTCTCTCTCTCTATGACCTTAGAGTGAATGAGCTCATTTGCCGTGAGCACAGTCTGCCCTGTCTCTCTCCTCTTTCGCTTACTTTCACTCTGTCTCCCCCCAATCTCTCTCGCTCGCTCGCTCTTACTGTGTATGAGCTGAATCTGGCTCATGAGTAAGGCATGCAACCACATTCCTTACTCACCGAGCAAATATGCAGCCACCTTAGGGGCCCACTCAATGTTTTTCTGAAAATGAAAAAATATAACACCCTCTCGACGACTTTAAGCATGAACCAGACTGCAAGCGTGCACTTTATACATGTACAGAGAGATGCATGTTTCAGCGTGATCACACTACCAACAGTAAATTTATTACAATATGCTAAATTTAATACAATGCTATAATGTTAAATGCTTTACATTGCGGTGCATTGTAAATCCTTCATTCATTCATTTCCCTTCGGCTTAGTCTCGGATTTATCATAAATCGCTGCAGCGGAATGAACCACCAACTCTTCTGGCATATGTTTTGCGAAGCAAACAACCCAGTACTTGGAAACATTGTAAATCAGTAAAAATCCTGCATTTAAATGTCTCTGCAGTGCAATTAGTATAGCAGGATATGTATGTACATGAATGTATGTGCAGAAAGCACTAGAAGAGTCTAATAAATGTAAAATATGTGGTTTTATTTAAAAACTTCAAGGAACACTCAACTTTTTTTGAGTTAAACTATGTTTGAATTGATTCAGTTGATCTGAAACGATTTGGAGCCATTTTAGCTTAGCAAAGAATAGATCATTGAATCAGATTAGACCATTAGCATTTCGCTCAAAAATGTTTCAAGCTATATTTTTCACTACAAAAAATGCTTTTCTTACTTAGATTTTTGTCTTGTTTCGAGGCCAAATATCTAAAAGTTCTTAAATCAAGAAACATTTTCTAGACTAGCAAAACATATTGGCTTGTTTTAAGAAATAATATGCCAAAATGAAGTGAATTTTTCCCTTAATCAAGCTAAATAATCTGCCAATGTGGTAAGCAAAATAATCTTATCACAAATTGAAAAACAAGATTATTTTGCTTACTCCATTGGCAGATTATTTTGCTTGATTTGAGGAAAAATTCACTTCATTTTGGGATATTATTTCTAAAAACAAGACAATATGTTTTGCTTGTCTAGAAAATGCTGCTTGTTTTAAGAATTTGTAGATATTTGGACTAGAAACAAGAAAAAAATCTAAGTAAGAAAAGCATTTTTTGCAGTGTTCCTATTTAAAGCTTTTCTGTTAATACATTGTGTGCCAAGAAATGAAAACTTACTGTCTCCATGCTGATATGCTAGAAAAAACACAATGTATGTGCAGGAAGCACTAGAAGTGTCTAATAAATGTAAAATATCTAGTTTTATTTACAAAATTAAAGCAACACTCAATTTATTTCAGAAAATATGCTCTTTTTAAAGTTAAACAGTTGATTTTAACCATTTTCGAACCAATTCAGTTGATCTGAATCAATTTAGAGCCATTTTAGCTTAGCTTAGCATAGATCATTATATCAGATTAGACCATTAGCCTCTCCCTCAAAAAAAAATTATAAAAGTTATATTTTTTTCTATTTAAAGCTCTTCTGTTGATACCTTGTGTGCCGAGACTGACAGGAAAAGAAAAGTTGCTATTTTTCAAAGACAATATGCTAGGAAATATACTCTCATCCTGATGTTTGGTTGTTTGTTTGTTTTTTATGCCAAGCTATGATTACTATGCCAGAATGGAAGCATAGATCTTACCCATATTGGCCTTTTTTCAGTTGGTTTTAATAGATGATGTAACTACAGATGTGTCAAGCCTTAAATAGGAAAATTGTTCTATGCTAAGCTAAGCTTAAAGTGCTCCCATCATACCCATGGAACACCTTACACAGGGGATCCCAAATTTCAGCCTACAACCCCCAAAATAACCATGCCAGTTACTTGCGACCCACACATTTCTTGGAGGTGGCTATAAATATACAAACGTAGCACACAAGACAATAGGCCTATATAAACACGAGCATACTGACAACAAAAAAAAGTGCAACAGTCTAACAATCATATAATTGTTATAGTCATTTATTTATTGTTTAATTTAATATTAACCACACCTAAAGAGACGTTTTGAGCACAAGTCTATTCTTGGTTTAATTTTGGAGACTGCCACTCAGAGATCATCCTCAATGTTCAGTTGTGGCCTGTATTCATTTTTATTGTATTTGATTACCGTAAAGGTGTCAGAAAGTTTAACCTGGTGCTATAAAATCAATCTGCTGCATCTGACACTATTGCTGTGTTGTTAATCTAATGTAAACACACCAATCATATGAAAAAATAATAATTAAAAGGCTGATGGGTTGTTTTTAATGTAAATATTAACTATTATTTTTATCTTCTGTGGGTTATGGATAAAATATGCTAATTCTAATAGTCACCAAGAGACCCCCTGTCATTGTCCCCCAACCCCCACTTTGCAAACCACTGCCTTAAAGACCTCCTATTATACAATAAAAATTATCATATTTTGGTTTTAAGGGTCTCCAACAGGGCGATATGCATGCACGGTTGAAAAACACTTTCATTGTCTTATAATATGCATTTATTTTTACCTAATTACCCCAGCGACTCCTATATAATTCGGTAAGTGATTTATTTGCTCCCAAGCCCCTCCTTAGCGCGAAGCTAATCTGCACCGATTGGACCGATTAAAGTATGTTGCGATTGGTTGAAAGCGTTCAGCGTGAGACAGAGGGAAATGCCCACCGTGGCTTATCAACAATATTGAAGTAGTCAGAGTGTATGTGAGAGCATACCTGCCAACACTTCTGTTTTCCCCTGGAGTCTCCTGTATTTCAGACCCGTCTCCCGCCACCCTCCTGTTTTGTTATTTATCCTGGAAAACTCACGTAATTTAAACCCCTCTGCGGTCCTCAGCATTTTGGTATGGTCTGTGAAACCCGGGTCGCCTGCATTGGTATATAATCCGATCACAGTAGTGACCCGAAAGACAGTTCATAGTTACTTACATCACAGTACACAGTACCAAGTTCTCAACAGTGTTAATTAGACACTTCAACCCCGAACCTAACACTCCCCAGTCTCGAGAATTTTCAAGGACAAATATTGGCAGGTATGTGTGTGAGCCCAATGCAGAAGTGCATTAAAGCAGTGCAGTAAAACACCAGCATATTGCTCTATTCTTAACCATGACACCAATTCAGTAGTACTCCACACAGTCGCAAAAGTTAAACTATTTTGAACCTTGCCCGCTGCACGTGTGTAGGAACAGCTGACAGTGGCAATAGCAATGACAAACAGCAGTGGATCGCGAGCTCCCAAACGCATTTAAATCCGTAAACAAAGCAGAACGCATTGCGTTTTCAACGTTTAGACACGATATGAGAATATAAAGAGTTAACCTGATACAGAGCAATCATTTACAAGTAACAAAACACAATTAAATACATAATTTGCAAGCTAAAGAAAACAAGGAGGCAACCATTTTAATCACACTTACACTTGTAAAATGGAGGAAGAAACTGGTCTATGAACTGTGTACTGTAAAGTTCTTGTCAAGCTCTGACAAAGTCCCACACATCAATAGTCTTTTCTGATCCTTCCTTTAACAAACGGCAGACGAATCCCCCATTGACACAGCACAAGGCTGGGACGATAACACTGAGGCATTTTTGCAAAAATAAACCTCAACCACTGACTCTTCACTGTTTCATATTTGGGTAGAAAAAAATAACACTAACTTTCCCCTCACACTTCCAATAATATCCAGCTGAGCACAGCGTCTTCATGACTTGATTCAACCGGGATCTGCTACAGTGTTTGTGGGCGGGGCTGCAGGTTTCAATTTTCCCAGGTCTGCGCGTGCAACAAATGGGCGGGGATTGAGTCCCGATCAAGCCGAAGCGGCTTAAGACTCATTATCAAGACGATTCATTTAAAGCACTACGAGTTGACTCTTTTATAAATAAATCAATAGATTTAAAAACTGTCCACTTTCAGATTTAAGCCTTAGCTGGATATTTCTCTTTACTTAGAGCTGTGTTACACACTACTTGGAAGGTCATTTTTAAAAACCCATAATAGGGGCTGTTTAAGGAATGCAAAAATGGTAAAACACATCAGTTTATCTTTTGGAAAGTTGTAAAATTAGCCTATTTTCAAAAAATGTGGAGTATTTTTTAAAGTCTTAACTCCTTTATTTATTCAACACATAGATAGACGTTTCCCAGAGATGGGTTGCGGCTGGAAGGGCATTCGCTGTGTAAAAACTTGCTGAATGAATGAATGAATGAATGAACATAGATAAACGAGTTAGACTTTAGGTTTGTAAATAAAATAGGACGTCAGCCTACAAAAATGCTCAAAATGCTAGTCGCAGTGATAGCTCTGCAGGAAAGATTTGCAGTGTCTGTTCTTAAGAACACTGCTGGATTTTTGTGAAACACTTAAAGCTTTAACTCTTGAGAAGACCAAGTAAGGTCCAGGCTGGTTTGCGCTAACTAATTCTGGTTTAACTGCATCACTCACAACTTTGAAACTGCAGTCTTTTGAGCATGTTTCAAGAGCAACTTCTCTATGGGTGAGTTTGACTCTTGTAAACGTTTAGTTGGGAGCAGATGTATCATAAGAGTGCAGGATTATTTATCAGGTGACACAAAGGAACATCACATTACTGTATGTGTGGCTTATAGAGTGTTGATGCAATGTACAAAATCTATGCTTTAAGGCTTTAACAAAGGATATGTGCAAAAGCAATGGAGTATAGAGTAGGCGAGGGCTAGAGCTGATAGCGCTTGTTGTCGGAGCACCAGTGACATGCGATATGCGGATACATCAGTCTATGATGTAATGCTTACAGGGCCCCAGCTGTCATGCCTGAGGTGTGAGGTAGCCTCCAGTTGAGCGCAACGCCAGCTCCAATCACTCAACAC